AAATAGTTGTGTAGGAGAGGGGGGATAAAAAGAAAACCTCAATTCCTATCCCAATCATCTAATCAATAAATTTCAAGCTGGTTGGAGGAGAAAGTTGTAGGAAAATAGTGTAAAATTTCTTATTCTGTGGTCTCATGTGCCTCCTGCTGACTAAAATTGTCTGATGTAAATCCAGCATTTATTAAGCTAAAGATACTATGTTGACATGAATTCTCTTTAAGTAATAAACTCCAGAATATTATTTTTAATTCACACATTTGGAAACCATTTATATTTGTGATAATCAAACATTATATGAAATATTCACTCTTTAAAGCAATTTTAAAATTTATCTTTTGTCTCCACCTGGTGGTAGAACATTTTCTCACTTTTTTTTTCACTTTTTTGTTGTAAAGAAAACCTCTAAACCAAGCAAACCACTTTTAACTTCAGTATTTATCATCAAGTATCAATGTATGTAACCGTACTGAACATAATAAATATCTACCAAGTGAATGAATGGTTTTCAATACATTCAAATGGATTGCAGTATTTATGATATTTTTAATTTGAATTGCATCGAGTTCTCAAATGCGACAAGTCAGTTTCTGGTTTTGAAAGTATAATTGATTTTTTGGGTAACGGCCACATGATTAAAAGGTACTTGACTGCTTTTTACCATTCTTTTTTAGTAATTGATAAAGTATTTTCACCATTCTTTTAAGAATATAAATACTTTTACACTGCAATATTTTTAAAATATTACATGATCCCCAAAGGGTAGGAGAAATTTTGATAAAAATCTGTAATGTATGATTGAAAAGACATAAATTCCTGATTTAAAGAATTAAGAAAAACTAAGTAAAAATCATTTGTTGTAGACCATCGCCACCTTGTGGGCTGAGAAAGAGGCACTAAAGGCTGGGAATCTTTTAAGGTGGAATTTTTTATTACTAGAAAATTCCTATTGATAATTTAATTTGATTGAATAATTGTAAACAACATCAGCCACAAGTCTAATGACATACTTACATACAAAGTAATTTAATGGGTTTAAATGCCAAGAGATGCTTCATTAAAACCTATGATCAGAATCATTTGTCATTTATCTAAACTCCAAGTTTCACTCTGACCATGTCATTGTGGACAAATTAACCCTTTGAGGGAGGCTCAGTTCTGCTCTTTGAAGAAAAGGAATGGATTAGAAAGATCACATTCCTCTCAATTCTGCAAAGGCATGAATAAAGAAATTTTATTTCCAAATACAATATAAGATATTTTTTCAGTCTTCAATATTTGTTAGACAGGTCAGAATACAGCCTACTTTAAACTAGATGTTTTCTGCTTAGTTTCTCAATTATTACCAAATAAAAGTAACTCCTACAGCACTACTAAAGTCAAACAGCTTTCCCATTGGTGTTTGTTTGTTTTGGGCGGTACAACTCAGCCTCACGCTTGCTAGGCAAGTGCTCCACCAGCCACCTTTCCCATTCCTAATTGGTAAAATTCTATGGTATGAAGACATGAATAAAAATCCTACTGTGGTTATGGAATATGCACATTAGTAGCTTCAGTAGAGACAATGTTTGCATTAAAATAATTCTAATAGTGCATATGTATATTATCAGACTTCCTCATTTTACTTTGATAAATAGACTTCATGATAATTATGAATGTATATTGTCTATAAGATATAAATCAACAAAACGAATACAAAAACATAAGCTGTAACTAGAAGACTCCCATGTTTATTTCCTTCACTTTTAAATGCAGAAGACTTTTTTTTTTTCAGAAAGACCCTCTGTTCAGAGGATGAGGGTGCTTTTAAAAGATCAAAATTCATTGCAAGAGGAGTTTTACATCAACTATTTTAACTATTGTTAAGTAATCTCTACAAAAAAATAAGAAATGATTAAAGCCTATAAATTAGAACATATTATGGTTAATGTTAATTTAAGCCCATAAGAGTTCTATAAAAAGAAAATCAGAAGTATGGTGAGTAGGGGTTAAGAATGTGATCTGGGTACACACTCTAAACAATTTTATACAAGTGAGACTATGAAACTTATTATGAGGACTCAGTGTTAGCATCACTTTCAATAGTGCCATGGTCTTACTTCCACATTCAGATTTTTTTCAATTCACAATTTACTTATAAATGTGCAAATATGTTATATGTATAAATGTGCCTAATGCTGCAAACACCTGAACAGAACTAGTCTTCTTAAAAAAGAAAAAAAAAGTAAGTAGATTAGATGTTCTGAGTGTGGAGTTTTTCAGCTTAGTAATTGGCAAGACCTACATCCATGTCTCTGTTGAATCGATTAAAAAAGAATCATTTCCCAGAACTACAGGTGCACAACAGATTGGAGTCATTATGCAAAAGAACAGAAATCTGGAGAGAAACCCAGAGAATGAAAAAGCCATGTTCCTGGCAATCCTTTTGCTTTTAATTCACAGCTTTTTCAGCTCTATTTGGATATGCAATATGAAAAAATTATAATGATTTGAAGTTACCCATTCAAGATTAGAAATGTATGCCTTGAATTAAACAAATTCCAATAAGAACACATTGGAGGTAGAAATGGATTAAAGGCCAAACTTTCATTAATTTATTTTAAAAGCTAACGTTTATGTAGGGGAATTGCACACATTTTGCTGGTCTTCTGAATTTCCCATCCTGCCTCAATAAAAGGAAATCGCACTTGTCCTCACTGATCTGCTAAGTCTCTCAGGCCCTGAACCACCTCCTCTACCTGCAATCTTCGTGTCAAAGCCAGTATGAGGCTTCAACTGATCCTCACCATGTTGTTTTCTGAGCCCTCTTCTAAGCAAGAGGTTTGAAAATGTATTGATGACTTTGCCATCAAGTTTTCATGAAGTCATGGTCAATATGTAAATATAATGTAATCTTTTTCAGATATTCTCCCAAGAGTCTAACCTTTCTACAAGCTAGAAAAAGCAAATAAATGAAGGGAAATCATTTTTAAAAAGAAGAAGAAGAACGTTAAAGAATTACTGTAACAAAAGAAGGAGAAGTAAAAAGATGTCTGTCAACCAAACTGGAGAACAGGGATACTCAGATATTTGAGAAAGATTTGTGACACAGAAATAAGCAATCTTCTTTGTTCAAAAACGTGAAAGAATCAGGCTGGACAACACAGAAACGAACAGGGCCACTCATGAATGTGGATGTCAGTATTAAATTTGAAGGAGAAATGGAATGTGCAGAGGAAAAGATGCAAAGAAGAACTGCAGGAAAGAAAGGCAGAAACAAGATCGAAATATTAGATGGTGGGGACATAGAAGAGCAAGGAAAAGGGAAACGCTGGCAATTCCTGTATCTGAAGGCGGTATTAAAATATAGCTAAATTTTTGTAGTATCATTCAACTTTTTTAGGAGTGTGATCTTAGGAAACCAAAATTACATTTAAGACAGCACCCACTCTTGAGGGAATGAGGATCAGGGGGTGTTATTAAACCTTTTGGAGAGTGAAACATTTTGCTTCTCGCTGCCATTCTTTCTCATTTGACGTTTCCCGAAAAGCGAGAAGCAAAGTTTTTGTTTTTCAAGTAGGCAATCTAGAACGCGGTGAAAAAGATGTTGCAAACTATTTAAAGAAAAGTTTAGAAGAGGGACGTGTTGGAGGACTCAAAGGAACTCTTCTGGCTGAGGCCGACTGAAGTTAAGAAGATCTGGGGAGGAGTAAGGGGCCAGATCAACTGGGAGCCAACTAAGGGAGGGGATGGGGGTGGGGCGGCGAGACGCAAGACCCGGGAGGGCGCGGAAGTGGGAGAGCCAGCGCGACTGGAGCGACGCGGGTCTGTCCCAGGACTTGGGCGGTCGTTCTCACTATTGTCCCTGTGGCTTTACGCCTGTGAGAGCATTGTGAAACATTTCCTTCCTCTGGGTCATGGAGTCCCTCCCTCTTTTTCAATGGAAGAGCCGCTCAGCTTTTTCCTAGGGACCTGGGGATAGAAAGTCTCAGCTTTTGTCGCTTTCTTAACACGACGCAGCCTTTTCCCTTCCTGGTAGGAAGAGGAGGGAGGGGTCAGGGAAGGAAACCGATTTCTTCATTTTCCCGCTGCACACTTTCTAGCCCTAGCGATCGCCGCTGGCCCCTGGTAGGAAAGTGGGTTTCTTTGACTTTTCAACCCGTCTGGCCTATGGCCTGCAGCAGCTGCTGCTAGGCATTGGAAGTGCACGGACTGGGCGGGAGTTATTTCTCGAATGAAGAGAAAACGCAATTCACTCCTTAGGCTCTAGGACGTGTGAATCTGGGTCCCTATAAAGAAGTCTCCGGGGTGAGGGCGGGGGGGGGGCTGATGGTTAAGTTCATTGCAAATGCATTCTGAAATCTAGAGCTTGAAAAGTGTCCCCGGCCCCTCATTTATTCTTTCTAGGGAAGCACAGTCAACTAAGTTTCCCCAAGAAAAGATGGGACAAAGAGGGACCACGCAGGAGCTCGTGAAAGAGCAGGGACATGCAGAGGTGGGGTGGGGTATTTTTCTAGAAAGGGCAGCCATGGCTCATCTCCCAGATTGAGAAAGAAAGAGCTGGGGGGAATTTGGGGGGTGGGAGGGAACATCTCTAACGCAGGGGAATCTTGGTGGAGGAACTCAACCCCGACCCTCCTTACTGGGACTGCAGCCCAACGCGGGAACAGCGTACCCACACAGGAGGGGCAGCAGGAAGGCAGGGTGGTCCAGGAAGTCGGCGGGGGAGAGGCATGGTGGAAGGGAAAACCTTCTCCCTGGAGGGCCCTGGCTGTGCAAAGTGCTGGTCACAGCGCCCCTTCTGCGTCTTCCGCCCCCAGACTGACGAGAGGTGGAGTGGAGCCAGCGCGGAGGCAACCCCATCCCCCGCCGTGGCCCGCGGCGCTGAGCGCGGTTTAGCACCAACTGAGCTCAGGGGGGCGGTGTCTTTGGGATGGAAAGGCGGCCAAGAGGGAGGAGGGGCTCTTTGGGTCTATAAAGGGGCGGACCGGACTGTCCGATTCTTGCACTCGCTGGAAAGCAGCTCCGAGCCAGGTGCTATTGCAAAGCCAGAGCGCACAGCCCGGCGGAGAGGGAGACTCCTGCTCAGAGCTAGCGACACCACGACCTAGACGAAGGACGAAGAGTGGCTCCAGGCACTGGTCCTCGAGTTGCCCCCGAGTCCTACAGGCGCCCCAGAATCCTTGTTCCCGCAGCAGTCACTCAGCAGCGTTTGCTGTGCAGTGTCTCCAACGCTACTGGAAGAAAACCTTCCCGCGCGCCGGCAAAACCGCAGCGTCTCACTTTAAGTGACTCTGGAAGGTTCGGTTTTAGCCGGCTCTGCGGGCAGTTAAATAACAGTAATTGTTAACTTGAACAACCCAGAGCGGGGCCAGTGAAGCTTTGCTCTTCTGACCAGAACAAAAGCTTTCCCTCGCTGAGTGCGCTGCAGTGCGCAATGTCTCCTCGGGCTCCGATGCACCGAGCGGTCCCTGTAGGGTCACGAAGGCACACGCCGGGCGGCGACATGGAGAACGCGGAGCGGGACTCTCGGCCTGCACCCATGCTGTTGCTGTTACTCACGGCCGCCGTAGTGCTGCTGTCTGTGCCGGGCGCGCACGGGCGCCCCGCGGAGGAGGACGAAGAGCTGGTGCTGCCGGTGTTGGAGCGCGCCCCGGCACCGGGGAACACGCGCCTCCGCCTGGACGCCTTTGGCCAAGAGCTGCACCTGAAGCTGCGGCCCGATCGCGGCTTCTTAGCGCCTGGCTTCACACTCCAGACCGTGGGGCGCAGACCCGGGTCCGAGGCGCAGCGTGTAGAGCTCGCCGGAGACCTGGGGCACTGCTTCTATTCCGGCACGGTAAATGGTGACCCAAACTCGGCCGCCGCCCTCAGCCTCTGCCAAGGCGTGCGCGGCGCCTTCTACCTGCAGGGAGAGGAGTTCTTCATCCAGCCCGCGCCAGCTGCTGCCTCTGAGCGCCTCGCCCCCGCCGCCGCCGAGGAGGAGCTGCAGGCGCGGCCACAGTTCCATCTCCTGCGGCGGAGGCGGCGGGGCGGCGGCGGCGCCAAATGTGGAGTCACGGACGATGAGACCCTGCCCGCCAGGGGCGCAGGACCAGAGAGCGAGGACGCCGGGGCTCAGGGGCCACTGCAGGACCGCAATCCGCAACGCGCGGGCCGACCAACAGGTAGAAGCGTTTCCCTCACTTGTCTCTCCATTCATCCCACCTCAACCCCCCCTTCTCACTTTCCGTACCCGACATGACTTGAAGGATACGCCCCAGCTCGTAGGCATATTCTGCCTGCCGACCTGACCGAGATTTGGAGTGGAGGAAAGTAGTTTGAGGTTTGAGTTGTTGAACTCAAGAGTGAGTTAATCATAGCCTACTAAACCATTTAATTCCATCTGCCTGAATAATGAATAACCAAGAAAGGACAGAGAAGTCAACTATTTGAATTTGTAATCCAACTCCTTCCACATTAGTTGAGCCGTAAGCGCGTGTGATTTCTTTCCTCCCCTTTCATTCCTTTTTAACAATATTACTGTGATCTTTGGCTGGAGAAGAGCAGCTGCGCGCTGAGTTTTGTAACCGCTGGCTGTGCGCGCACCCAGCGCTTAGACGAGGGCGGGGATGGAGAGAGCAGAAGAGCTATGGTGACTTCGAAATGTGCCAGTGAGCCTTGGCCTTCTTCCGTCTCTGTTCTGTGGACTTCTGTACCCTTTCCCTCCTTAAAAGGCCGAACAGGACGGCTGGCGGCGGGGCCCCTCAGCAGAACCTGCTTGGGAGGTCTTTGCTCAGCTTGCCCCGCCTCCCCACTCTTCCTACCCCGCCTCCTGGTTTGCACTCCCTCTCGCGGCCATAATTCTGCTCCTAAACACTGTTGAATGTTAACCACCGCCGATTCTTCCTGCCGTGCCTTTCTCAATCCGTTGTGTGCAGTGGTTACTACTCATTTCATTTTTATCACTCTGATGACACATTGCTGTTTTAACTTTCTCACGTATTCTCCCCGTTTCTTTTGCGTCTGCTTTGGGACTAGTTACGCGGTCCTCTTCGGCCCAGTTTAGGACTTCCATGGGGGTTGGGTCTCAGTGAGTAGTCTGAGGGCTCTTTTCCTAATAAAGAACTGTGGCTCAAGACAGAGACCTAACTACTCTTGGGCAATGGGAGTGGGGTGATAGACGCCTGGGCAAAGTGGGTGGTCCTTGTGCCTGGAACTGGCCAGAAAAGCACCCCAGGGACCCCTGGAATGAGAGAGCTGAGCAATGGAAGCTGAGATTCCTTCAGGCCCGGCCCCTTGGCAGCAGCTAGGCCCTGCCCTACGCCTTCCACGTGGAGCTGGATGATCTCATTCAGGGTTTGAGCCCTGGCCTCAAGAGTGAAAGAGTGACTCAGGGCCTTTGCCCGCTGCGTTTGCTGCAAGTTTTACTACAGCTGGGTAGGATAATGGGCATATTGCCTTGTTCAGACTGTAGGCTTTGAAAGGGAACAAAAGAAATCCTGTCTCGTTTTCTCTCTCTCTCTCTCTCTCTCTCTCTCTCTCTCACACACACACACACACACACACACACACACACACACACACACACGCTCCGAAATAACTTGATCTCCCTAAGTAGCACATGGTCTTTTTATTTAAAGCAAAACAGCAAACTTTAAAAATAACATTTTCAGTAAAAAGAGACACAAATATTTGTGTTATTGTTGTTCAGGTATATTTTGGTTTTGTTTGCTTTGAGTGACTAGGCTTTCTTTATATACTCTGGGACAGTCACTATTCTTGGAGAGACTGACAAACTCAGCAAACTGCCTTTCTCTTTTCACAGGAACTGGAAGCATAAGAAAGAAGCGATTTGTGTCCAGTCCTCGCTATGTGGAAACCATGCTTGTGGCAGACCAGTCAATGGCAGAGTTCCATGGCAGTGGCCTAAAGCATTACCTTCTCACCTTGTTCTCCGTGGCAGCCAGGTTGTACAAACATCCCAGCATTCGGAATTCAGTTAGCCTGGTGGTGGTGAAGATTTTGGTTATCTACGAGGAACAGAAGGGACCAGAAGTGACTTCCAATGCTGCCCTCACTCTGCGGAACTTCTGCAACTGGCAAAAGCAGCACAACCCGCCCAGTGACAGGGATGCAGAGCACTATGACACAGCAATTCTTTTCACCAGACAGGTGAGAGCAAGATGCTACTATTTATTATATTGTCCCCTCATGAGTCAGCATTGCACCAAACAAATTGATAAAGAGTATTTCACTAATGTTTCTTCACTTAAAATTTTACTTGGCTAGCATGGTCTTTCTTCCTTATTACTGCTATGACTTCAATGTCTCAATTTGCAAAGTTCTATAAAGTGTGAGGAAAAAATCATGATTAAAGTCACAGAGTCTTTCTAGTGCAACAGTAATGAATATACAGGTTGTAAAACATGAAGACACACTCTACTAAAAACTAAAATGTCTAGGTTCATACCGTTCTTGTTAATAAGGATTTGCTTCTGTTCCTTGTAGGACTTATGTGGGGCCCAGACATGTGATACTCTTGGAATGGCTGATGTTGGAACTGTGTGTGATCCCAGCAGAAGCTGCTCCGTCATAGAAGATGATGGTTTACAGGCTGCCTTTACCACAGCCCATGAATTAGGTAAATCTGTTTCAGAGTACAAGTTAAGCCCAATTCGTGAATCCAAACTAATAAAGCAGTATGTTAAATTGATAGGAGGAGTCTGCAGATTATATTCCTATCTTAGGTACCAGTGGTCCTAGAAACTATAGAAAACATTTTCCACTATTTCACTATTCCCACTATTGTTTTCTTTATCCAAATAAGAACTAAAATCATTAGCACTATTGAAATTTATATGTTTATACTCTATGAGAAGTAGATACCATCTCCAAAACAGATTGTCTCCTAAATATATTTGTTCCTGTAGAAATATCACATTAAGATAAATGAGTTCCCTCTGGGAGAAAAGGAATTCTGCAAGTGACCTCTATTTTTTGGGGGGGTGGTACTGGGGCTTGAACTGAGGGCCTTCACCTTGAGCCACTTCACCAGCCCTATTTTTGTGAAGAGTTTTTCGAGATAGGGTCTCACAAACTTTTTGACCCAGCTGGCTTAGAACCGCGATTCTCCTGATCTCTGCTTCTTGAGTAGCTAGGATTACAGGCATGAGCCACCGGCGCCCATCTGACCTCTGTTTTAATATGGGTTTTGGATTGCTTCCTAGGCCACGTGTTTAACATGCCACATGATGATGCAAAGCAGTGCACCAGCCTTAATGGTGTGAATCAAGATTCCCACATGATGGCATCAATGCTTTCCAATTTGGACCGAAGCCAGCCTTGGTCTGCATGCAGTGCCTACATGATTACATCATTTCTGGATAACGGTCATGGTAAGACACTGGTGCACTCTTTGTAGATAGCATCCAATCTTTCGTGGATAGGGCTGTAGTGAAATGAGCTCTCTTTTTGTTCTTTTATTTTTCCTCTTTAGAAATTACTTTTCTCTACCAAGATCATAATTATTCAGATCTTAATCCCCAGTAAGAAATAATGCTGCCAGCTGAGTAGCTCCCAAGTCCATTCACATTTTGAACAGAACAATAAATGTTATGTCATTGTTAATCCAGAAATACCATATCGAGGATAGTATCTTGATGATAATTTAAATCTCTCTGGCACTTTCTCACAAAGAGCTACAGTTTTCAAATTGCTGTGTACTATCTCCTATGACAAATGTTTTGTAGCACCTTGAGCACACCTTTCACACTGTCATTATCTACTGATTGATATTGGTTGGTGTTTTCTTTTCAGGGGAATGTTTGATGGACAAGCCCCAGAATCCAATCCAGCTTCCATCTGACCTCCCTGGCACCTTGTATGATGCCAACCAACAGTGCCAGTTTACATTTGGAGAGGAGTCCAAGCACTGCCCAGATGCAGCCAGCACGTGCACCACGTTGTGGTGCACTGGCACTTCTGGTGGGTTGCTTGTGTGCCAAACCAAACACTTCCCTTGGGCAGACGGCACCAGCTGTGGAGAAGGGAAATGGTGTGACAATGGCAAGTGTGTGAACAAGACGGACAAGAAGCATTTTGATGTGAGTTTTTCTACCAAAACACACTCATACCCCTTTAAAATTCAGAATTAAACAGAACAAAAAGATGCTAAAAGTTTTCTTACCAAGTTAAACACCTCCATCTGGCTTCTTTAGCAGGAATGGATGATAGCTTATTTTTAGAATTAATTCTTTTCCTGTATTTTTTGTCATTCATTCCCTAAAAGGTTCTTTGGTATGTTTAACACTGATTTGTGTATCCATTTAGACTCCTGTTCATGGAAGCTGGGGACCATGGGGGCCTTGGGGAGACTGTTCAAGAACCTGTGGTGGAGGAGTTCAGTATACAATGAGGGAATGTGACAACCCAGTCCCAAAGAACGGAGGAAAGTACTGTGAAGGCAAACGAGTGCGCTACAGGTCATGTAATATTGAAGACTGTCCAGACAATAATGGTGAGTAGCAGTGGACATCAACCTGGAGAAATGGAGATGAGGAAATGAGTTGAAGGTTCGAAAGTGATAACGTCACGGTATCATTCTCTTTCCAGGAAAAACCTTTAGAGAGGAACAGTGTGAAGCGCACAATGAGTTTTCAAAAGCCTCCTTTGGAAGTGGGCCCGCAGTGGAGTGGATGCCCAAGTATGCTGGCGTTTCACCAAAGGACAGGTGCAAGCTCATCTGTCAAGCCAAAGGCATCGGTTATTTCTTCGTGTTACAGCCTAAGGTAGATACTTTTGCACTTGTTTTTTTTTTTGGTCCCAAGACCGAGGGCTTTGGCTTGCTATCTTTTCATCAGCCTTTGACTTTCTGTCCCTTATGTTCAATTGTAAATTCAGACTTCTTCTAAATACATTAGCATCTACTTTCTTTGAGTTTAGTGTTGCTTCCAGTTATGAAGGAAGCTGAAATCCAGCACTTAAGATACTTTCAATTGCTTGGCATTGCTCCTTTATGTACAGAAAGGAAAAATCAAGTGCTTCTCTGTATGACTAGGTTTTGTATACAGCTCATAGTTAGATATATTATATATTAACACAGTAACCAGTGGTTCTGGAAAATAGTGGAGGCACAGCCCAAATGGTCCAGAGTACTTGTTACTGGGCAGTAGTGTGCATAAACATTCTTATTAAAATGAAGATTGAGCACTGACAATTCGTATTTTTGAGCTTGTGTATTAAACAGAGAGAGGAATCCTTTCTTCTGCTATTTTACAGAGTGGATAAATCCTCCTCTGAAGTAGAAAATGGAATTAAATTTCTTTGAGATTAGCATGTGTCATTAGCATTGTAGGCTATAAATATAGCCTACAATGAAAATAATACCAAATTTTAGATTCAATCAATATTCAGCAAGTGATTTATGAAGCACCTTCTTTTGCAAGATAGGTGCTGAGGAGACACCAATAATCTCTGCTTTCATTGATCTTGACCATAGGGAAGATGAGAAAATAAATAATCAAATATAATTTTTTTCAAATGTCTATTCATAAACAAAGCTAAAGAGAAGGGTAATGCATGACATATGTAGAGAATACTATTTTAATTTAGCATGATCACGTAAGCAGAGAGGAAAACATAGCTATTACAGCATCACTGTCCTCTTCCTTTCTAATATTTGATGCCAGATACCTGTTCCTTCTTCAGGTTGTAGATGGTACTCCCTGTAGTCCAGACTCCACTTCTGTCTGCGTGCAAGGACAGTGTGTGAAAGCTGGTTGTGATCGCATCATAGACTCCAAAAAGAAGTTTGATAAATGTGGTATTTGTGGAGGGAATGGATCTACATGCAAGAAAATATCAGGATCAGTTACTAGTGCAAAGTAAGTATTAAAACATCTACTTCAGATACCTTATAATTTAGATGTACTTTGTCAGTTCTTGAGCAAGACATTACGTCCAAAGTTTCTGTGTTAAGCCAGCTACCACCAGACCTTGTGCAGACCTGCCTTGCCCACACTGTAGCTGGGGGATTGGTCACAAGACTGGGGAAAAATTACACTAAAAATGATTACATATTTTTAAGCTAAGTCCTTGATTAGTCAAGGACTGACTGATAGGCTTATGCCTTTTCTTCCTGCCCACAGACCTGGGTATCATGACATCGTCACAATTCCCGCTGGAGCCACAAACATTGAAGTGAAACAGCGGACTCAGAGGGGATCCAGAAACAATGGCAGTTTTCTTGCCATCAAAGCTGCTGATGGCACATATATCCTGAATGGTGACTTCACTTTGTCAACCCTAGAGCAAGACATTACATACAAAGGTATTGTCTTAAGGTACAGTGGTTCCTCCTCAGCACTGGAAAGAATTCGCAGCTTTAGCCCGCTCAAAGAACCCTTAACCATCCAGGTTCTTACTGTGGGCAATGCCCTCCGGCCTAAAATTAAATACACCTATTTCGTGAAGAAGAAGAAGGAATCTTTCAACGCAATCCCTACATTTTCAGAATGGGTCATTGAAGAGTGGGGTGAATGTTCTAAGTCATGTGGATTGGGTTCGCAGAGAAGATTGGTAGAATGCCGCGACATTAATGGTCAGCCTGCTTCCGAGTGTGCAAAGGAAGTGAAGCCAGCCAGCACCAGACCTTGTGCAGACCTGCCTTGCCCACACTGGCAGCTGGGGGATTGGTCACCATGTTCCAAGACTTGTGGGAAGGGTTACAAAAAGAGAACCTTGAAGTGTCTGTCCCATGACGGGGGAGTGTTGTCTCATGAGAGCTGTGATCCTTTAAAGAAACCTAAGCATTACATCGACTTTTGTACAATAGCAGAATGTAGTTAAGCAGTGTCAGTGTTGGAAGGGAGTGTGGAAGGGCTGATGCGCTGAAATCCAGAATGCTGGAAGGATCCAGTGTATCTAGCCAGTATCCAGTGAGGTGTGTCAATAAAGGGGGAATGTGGAGGAGATAGAAAAGCAGTGAGATCATAAGAATATCCTGCCAGTTACAAATTCCATAGGGTAGTTAATGAGGATTACTAGCCTCTGATCAGTGATATAGCATGGTAAAGCCCCAGGGTATTATTATTATTTCTTTTGTTACATCTATTATAGAAACAGTTGTCAAAATAAGTCAGAAATATCGCAAGCCTATTTCCTGGTACTGATTAAATGCTCTGTGTCATGGGAATTGGGAAAAGAAAAAAAGATATTTCAGATAAGACATACAAAAGGTTTGCTTTACCTCACTGACAATGGTGGGGAGAAAGAATTACAAACAGGATCTTTGATCAGTCTCAGAATGTTCATACATCTTTATATCAAAAGTCAGAGAATTCACCTTGTTCAACATGAGAAAAAGGCTCCATAAAGTGGTCTATAGTTCCTTCTTTACCTTATACCATCTCAGTTTTTATCTGTGTAATTCATTTTGAGGAAGAAACAATTCATATTTATAATAATAACATCAAGTCTAAAAAAGGCAAAAACTAGCAGCAAAGTAGTACTAGGTGCTAGCTAGCAACAGTAAGGGAGGCACAATGAGCTTGATGCTTCCAACCTTACTTTCTTCCTTATGTAAACCTACTTTGGGAATGTGATTGCAAAAAAATAATTTATGTCTCAAGAAAGTCAGTAAGATCACACAAACAGGATGTAATGCCAGAACAAGAATGGGGTTGTGTAGAGCAAGGTCCCGTGGTTATGGAGACATTGGGATCACTTGTTTCATGGTGGGGAGACTGCTGAGGGGTAGCAGGTCCATCTCCAGCAGCTGGTCCAACAGTCGCATCCTGGTGAATGTCTGTTCAGCTCCTCTACTGAGAGAGAATATGACTTTTTCCATATGTATATAGTAAAATATGTTACTATGAATTATATGTACTTTATAAGTATTGGGTTGTGTCTTCCTTCTAAGAAGGACTATAGTTTGTAATAAATGCCTATAATAACATATTTATTTTTATACATTTATTTCTAATGATAAAACTTTTAAGTTATATCACTTTTGTAAAAGTGCATATAAAAAATAGAGTATTTATACAATATATATTACTAGGAATAATAAAAGAACACTTTTGAATATGTGTGTCTATTTTTTGAAGTGGGAATTAACCCCTGGGAAGGAAATTTGAGACACAAATATTGCATCTGAAGACAATTCTTTGCTTAGATTCTTTGGAAATAAGATTTAGTTCTAATGAAATCTGATTCATGTATTCTTGGTTTGTGAAATTCCTAGTATAAAAGGAATTTATGATATCTTTAGTGATAGATAAGATTGTTACTATAATGTATACACCAGCGGTTGGCAAATTTCTTTTGTAAAGAGCCAGATAGAAATATTTATGGCTTTGTGAATTATACTATCTTTGTTGCTACTACTCAACTGTGCTATTATAGATATGAAAGCAGCCATAAATAATATGTAAATGAATGGGCATGGCCATGTTCTAATAAAACTTTATTTACAAAAACAAATGGTGGGCCAGATATGTTTTGTGAACTGTTTGCCAACCCCTGATGTATATCATAAGAGGTTGGGGCTCTGGATGCATTTTGGCTTTTTGTCTTTTCCTCAGTCATATCACATAAATAAAATTATATGAAAATGTTAAAGTTATTGAGTAGAAAATTATGCTTCACAAATCACATTTAGGATATATATGCATGGTAAGCCAAATCTTCCAAATTTTTCACTTGCTTATCAGGAACACCTAAGGTGTTTTGAAGAAACCTTAGAGAACCCAGGCTTCTTTGGGTAGCCCTTTGTAAATCATATTTTCAATACTAATTGGTACCTTAGTTGCTCCCAAAGCAACTGCATTGCTCTCAAGAAATATTTTTAGTAGGCAACAGATTATGTGATTAACCTTTGATATTTCTAACATTACATTCATTTTTTCCATCTTTAGCATAATTTTTCTCACATAGTATGCTAATGTGCCTGCTTCAGCTTCAGATGATAGTTTCTAATTTACCTTCCACTATTCAGTGTTCCCCTGAACAAGTGGACATATGATTCTCAGGAGTCACTTGTATGGATGCAGGGTGGGGTGGTTAGGGTTAGTGGGCTACAGGACCTGAAAGGTAAAAGTGAAGTCTCACATCGTGGAAACTAGTCTTTGTCCCATTTAAACATGGAATTTAACTATACAATTCAGCAGCCTCCTTTGCCTTGTGCACTTATTTATTTGCCTTCTTTAGTATATTACAAACACTCATAAGGAATGACATGGAGGATACACATTCACACAGCAAAGCCATGGCCCTTGTATACTAAACATCCTATTTAAGAGAAGATCCATGTCTCAAATAACCCATGATATAAAGAAGTCAGCTTTGGATGCTTTGTTATTCACCAAAGAGTTTTGTTTTTTGGGTTTTGGGGTTTTTGTTTGTTCTGTTATTTGTCTTTTTAAAACCTTAGGCTGATTTGTTTAGAACACAGAAAAACAGCGAAAAAAGCATTCCTGCCATCTTTATTCTCAGTCCAAGGTAATACCAAACAATTTTGTCCTGTTGCCACAGTATTTCTCAGCCCTCTGCTGTTGAGATTCTTTTATAACTAGGCTGAGCAGTTTAATTTGACAGCAATGAGAAGTTCGTTCAAAACACACACCCAGGTTTTGTGAACTTGACTTGGCACCTTCTTCAAGGGAGGAGAGATTCTGCAGTCTCTCCTACTGCAGACATAAATGATGACCTGGGCCAATGTTGTGTCCTCATTCAGACACCGAAGTTTTGAGGCATTCATTAGGCAGTTTTTTTTTTAATAATCGCCCTTTAAGTGCAACTTTTAGATCAAAAATTTTACCAGCAATTGGCAAAAATAGTTTCCATCTTATTCCTTGATTTGCCTTCTTGAGAAAGGCACTATGGATTGTAAGATGGCTTAGGAATGATATGCAGCCACTAATTTTCTGACTTCATTGATTCTCCAGAAGAAAATAATAATTATTGACATAAGGGTTTATTGAACAAAACTATCCTGGTATGAAAGTGCAGTCTGTTTTGCCATATACATATTTTGATAATGTGGACGAGTTTATGTGACATGGCAGAAGTGGAATGATGTCAGTGAAAGCTGAACGATCCTTTGGCTCATAAACTAGTTTTCCTAGAAAGTAAAGGTTTTGTACCTTCTCTTAAAAGTATAACAGAATATACTAACTCATGAACCTGATAAGTCATAGAGGCAAACAAAACCATACACAATGCCCACTCATTGTCTCCACTTGGTCACCAACTGTCCTGGAAGTCCCTAATGTGGCATTTGCTCCTTGTGCTTTTTGTCTCCATTGTTCAGAAAACAGAATTTTTTAGGTTTCTACTTTTTATCATGGAGGACAAGTTTCTGTAATTACTATCAATTATTCATTTGGAATTTAGCCTGCTTTCTTAGCTGTAGTAGTTTCTTTTTATTTAGGATTACTATAGGCTTATGTTCTATCATATTAAGAGAAGACATTTTTGCCTGCTGAATGAGAAGGAAAAAGGGCATGCAATTTTATATAGAAAACCCATTAGGGCCTTTTAAATAGAGCTACATGGGTGGAAACCAGAAAGATGCAAAGGGACAGTTCTCAGAGAAATGAGATAGAAGGGTCTCACCATAGGTGGGAGTAAACTTGACTTTCCTCTTCGTGGAGAGTCCAGTGTGGCTGGAGCAATGAAGACAGCAGAAGAGAAGGAGAATGGTAGAGGGCAGATCACATGTTCCACAATAGTAGAAGGTATGCTTGGGACTTTCTTTGAGTGATAGGGGAACAGTGGAGGGAACTGAGCAGAGGGAGACATAGGTGCAACATTTTAATATGGGCTGATTACAGTTGGGACGAGGTAGCAGCCAGATAGGGGATTATTGCAATAGCTGCTGTAATGAATGACAATAATGGGCTGAACTAGGGTAATAGTCATGGAGGTGATAAAAAAGATCAAATTCTGTGGATCAAGATGAGATTTGAAGATACCAGTAGATAAGAAAGGAAAAAGAATATGGATGAGCCTAACAGATGTTTTTGCTGGTTTTTTTTTTTAATTTTGTACAGTAAATGCATGTGGTACCTTCTACATAGAGATCAACAGAAATGAAAGCAAGAAGATTGGTAATAAGTACTAAAAATAGTTAAACTTATAGCTAAATATTAATAATTGTTGGAAATAAAGTTTCTATATTAACCAGAAATGAAAAAACAGTTAAGAACTAAGGTCTATTATATAAAATGTTTAAATAGTTATATTTGAAGTACAAAACCATATGCCATACTGACAAAATTATAGAAGAGGTACTGAAGTTTCTCATATCAAAGAATACGGTTTTATTTTTGAATTTGATAATCAGATACGTATTTCTTGAAAACACACAAAAAAGTCACTTTATGGAAAGGAGATATACATCAAACAAAACCCATAAAGCAAAGAATGGAAAGCAATGACAAAACTGGAAATAAGATGACAGAATTCTAACCACACTATTATGACAACACATTGTTAAAACTTAAAAATACTTCAGGACATGTTTAAAAATAAAATCCAATGATAAATAAAAGGGATCTAAATCAAAATGACATTTTTTTCAAGGAAGTGCAAAGATTTATGAGGCAAATGCAAAATAGGAATGGAACATGGTTTCTACCAAATTATATTTAAGGTAGAAAAGCACTAAGCAAAGTAGAGAATAGCATTTCTTGTAAACTGAAGTACAATTCACTATTAAATATATGTTTGGGGTAGTAGAACCAAATACATAAGAAAAAAAAGCTAAAAATTTTCCAAAGATATAAAAGACCTGGGAGTTTGACTTCAAGTTATAAACTTTTCATTTCATGCCGAAATAATAAGTAATAGATTTAAAGAAAACCCAGCCGTTAGCTAAAATGATTCATAGCTTTTTAAAACATGGAACCATCAATGTTAAGTTTATCTGAAGCAGCTAGTGTGGTGCTGAGAGAGAGCACTACCTGCAAAACAGTGCAATATGAGACTTCTTCGAGCTGTTTTTAAAATTCATCATAAAATTACAATTAGAAATAAAAAGTGGTACTTGTAGAATTGTTGATAAGCACACCAATGGATGAGAGGAATAACTTAAAATCAAATCTTAGTAACCTTAACTATGAAACATTAGTGTATGGTGATGTTTGAAACATAAATCTGAGCAAAACAAATCATTCCAAACACAGCTCTGAAACAAATTTTATTTGGAAAAATTAATAAATTAAATTCCATGTACATAAGTTAAAGCATTTAAACAAAACCTGTATTAGTCAGGGTTCTCCAGAGAAACAAAACAAATATGAACTCTAGGTCTATACTGTATACCTATCAATCAATAGATTTATTATAAGCAGTTGACTCACATGATCATGGAGGCTGAAAAATCTCAAAGTCTGCATCCACACATTGGAGACCCAGGAGAGCTGACAGTTTAGTTCCAGTCTGAGTTTGACTCTGAAGGCAGAGGACAATTGATGTCCCATCTCAAACACAGAAATTCTCCTTTATTTGGTCCTTTTGTTCTATTCAGATCCTCAACAGACTGGACAAAGCCTACCCACATTAATGAAGACAGTCTTCTTTAGTCAGTCTGTTGACTCATATGTTAACTTCACCAAGAAACACCTTGGTACTCCATGGCCCAGTTAAGTCACTACACAAAATTAACCATCTCAAGGTTAATGAGCATTGTGACTCACCACTGTAATCTCAGATACACAGGAAGTGTAGATAAGTAGGATCAAGGTTCAGTACCAACCTGGGCAAAAGGTTATCAAGATCCTATCTCAATAAATAAACCAGGCATAGTGGGATATGCTGTAATTTCAACTAAATGGGAGGCATAGGTAGGTGGATCTCTGTCTCTATGCTTCAGAAGAATTCCCTAACATATGAAAAACAGAATTTTCCTTAAACATAAAAGTCATGTATTTCTAAACTGCTATGTGAAAAAAGCTCATACAAATATAATGTACACAGAACATTTTCAAAGTACATAAACAATTGCAAAAGAAATCTACATGTATATAAACTAAAGAAAGAATTCTGGGTTTATCGGAAATCAAACTACACATTTAAACAA